CAATACAGATAGTCTTATAATAATAATATCGTTATTATTGAAACAAATTTTCCCATAAACTTATCGATACTGCTGAAGAAGGTTTATCGAAATTTTCGATTTATTTTCCGATGGTTGTAAGAATTTTATTCCACATTTATGTTATTGTTAAAAATTCTGCTTGAACTAACTAGTTTTCTTTTTTATACTTTCGAAAAAATTGTCATTTTTATTTTTTATTAATTTTTATTATTCGATATCGTTGTAATGATCGATATCTCTGTCAATGTATCATATATGTTTAAATATACGAACTCATACATATGTACAAGATATCTGTCAATATAATTTTTCATGAAAACATCAATAGATCCTTCGAAAATTTCATTAAATTTTTATGTTAAATTTCAAGATTTTGCCAATATTTTAATTTATATCAATCGGAGACCGTAACAGTTATGCTCTTTATAATTTAAGTGTTAAAATTCAATTTAAATTTTTTGTTCAAGTTTAATCGTTATTTTATGATTTTTCGATCAAGAATAATCGTTATTTTTGGATTTTTATTTTTTCGATTCTTATAAGCGTTATTTTCAGATCTAGGTTTTTACATAATAAACGATTTAAATCGGTTATAAAAGCGCAGTCTCTATTATAACGGTTAAAAATAATAGAATAAATAAAAATCCAAATTTAACGACAATCTTTGATCGAAAAAGTGTGAATTTAATTTTTCATGAAATTATCGATAAATCCTTCGAAAATTTCATAAAATTTTCATGTTTAAATTTCAAGATATTATATTATAATTTATATCAAACGGAGATCGTAACAGTTATGCTCTTTATAACAAAAATCATAATTTAACCGTTTAAAATTTGATTTCTATTTTTCGTTCAAATTTAATCGTTATTTTATGATTTTTATTTTTCGATCAAGAATAATCGTTATTTTTGGATTTTTATTTTTTCGATCATCTTATAAGCGTTTTTTTCAGATCTTGGTTTTTAGATGATAAACGGTTTAAATCGGATATTAAAACGAAGTCTCTATTATTACGGTTAAAAATATTAGAATAAATAAAAATCCAAATTTAACGAAAATTTTTGATCGAAAATCCGATTATGATATGATCGAAAAATAAAAATCTTTATGCTCCACAATTTTTATTGAACTTGAGGCCGTTTTTAATGAAAAACTTAGGCACTCCGCACATTAAGCGCCTAGTCATAGTAGTGTAATCGTTCCAGCATACTAAAGTACGAAGCTTTTATGCCGAACACATGTATTTCAATGAAGCTCATTACGATTCATAATCACATTTTCGCCTAATCATAAAAGCTTCATGAATCGAAACGCCCAACATTGTATGGCGCTTGCGGTTTTGAAATCGTCATTTGTTTACTTTTTTGTGTTGGAAGTAAAAATTATTTGTCATTTCAATAAGAAATAATTGAAAATAAATGATTTTGTGCTAGAAATCGTGCCAATTGTATTAAACCATAAGCAAGCCTTCATGCAATATTTTATTGCAAAAAAATTCCGCGAAAGAGTGTAACTAAGAAAGAACGGCCAGAAAATGTGTAATGTGTGTGCCAGCATGGCTTATGCAGGGCGCGCAAGTGTGCAGAAGTGGAGTCGTCATGCATTCGTTTCGGCATGACGAAACAATTACTCTACTATGATTAGGCGCGTAATGTGCGGAGTGCCTTATTGTGAAAAAGCAACAATCATTTGAAAAAAGCGATAGCTATTTAAAGCTCAATAAAAATTGTTGAATATAATTGTTATATGGCCATAAAATAACAAAAACAAACCCCTTTATGTTTAACCGTTATTTTCGGTTTCTGATATCAAAACGGTTATGGATATTTTTTATCGATATCCAATTTTGGGTATTTTTACCGTTATTTTTATTTAAGTATATCAATTTCGACGCAGTTATCGATGCAAATTTCTTTATTAAAAATTTATCATTTTCGGACGAGTTGGTGATTTTGTGGCCGTTAAAATTTTTGCAATGGTTATCGATAAATGTTTTGTATTTTCGGCTAAATGGTTTTTTCCATTGACGATTTCTACCATTATACCCAAAACAATTTTACCCACTTTGTGCAGCTGAAACTTTCTAACCTTCAATTCGCCAACCTCAACTATCAACTTTTTTCAACTAGCATTCGCCCGTTGTTGATTTATTTAGTTGCTAATATGTTAATTGAAAACATTCTCATGTCAGTTAATTATCGCAACACCTAGCTTCACTTTGCCAATACGCTTCCCCACTCCACATTCTAGATGGCCCACTTGCCCGCCTGTCCCCGCTCAGCACCCTAATCATTTCAGTAACACTATTCTCAGCTAAGTGCTACTTAGCACAAACAAATCCAAGCAGTCAAATATGCCAAACAACAACAACAACAAATAAACAAATAAGTACAACTAAGTAGCTTTAATGCTATGTTACACGGAGCGTAATACCCCGTTTCGCTCCATTTTGCACTTTGGCTGTTCGTTCAGCTGTCACATTGTAATTTATATACGTCAATCGAAAATGTCAAATGACTAATGAACGAATCAATGAAAATGTGAAGGGCGGAAAATGAGAGAGAAAGCGTTAATGGAAAAAAGTTGCAGGAATAATCAATTGCTAAATACTAAGAGAACTGGCAGTTTGGGGACTATGGGTTAGGGGCGTTTTGTTAGTTGTTCTACTTTTTTGTTTGAATATCGGTGTAGATTTTGTGTATGATTAGTTGATTAATAGCTTAAATAAAGTCAAAAGACCCAAGGCTTGGGGTTTAGTAGTGTATTTATCAAAAAAATTCAATTTTTTGGCCAACATTTGATCCTCCGCTTGGCTAAGGAAAAAATGCGTTCATAAGTGACGCATTAGATATCTAATAAAAAAAAAAAAACATACCGACAAGCAAACGATCATCTGTGTTGTTCTTATATTTCATATGACAAGTTACATATCTACTCTTCAGTGCAGGATATGTCAACTCACTTGTCAGGGTTGTCAATCCTTTTGAAGACGAATATTTTTGGAGCGGTTACAACAGTGCCGCTGTCAGTCTCGAGCATCAACTTCATGCGCCGAGCCTCTGCTAACTAGCTAGCTAGTTTTTCAGCGTTATTATCTCGTCAGGGTTGAATTTGTCTTATTTTTAGCTCAGGGAGCAAGTGAGTTCAGCTCACAAATGTGAGTTGACCTGGGTTCTCCTGGTGGTCACTCCGAAGATCCCTGTTTCTTTTCGTGAGCAACGATACAAGTTTCTTACTCTTTTGTGCCAAATAGTGTGGATATTACCCAGATCTTTCTTGTGTCAACAAGGACAAGCTGAAGTTCTCTCTTGGCAAATACGCTTTTGTATACCAATTCGAGGCATTTGAAACCCCTAAGGGCTACTAAGTCATAAATAGATGGAGAAGTAAAAGTTTACGTATCTGTAGTGGCACTGATCAGCCCTCTAACTTCTCCCATAGTTGTTCGACACTGCCAGACTATGTTGGGAAAAAGAAAAAGCTCTTTTACTCTGGATGCCAAGTCAAGCGGAAGTAGCTGGAAATGAGATACCTGACAATTTGGCTAGAGAATGCTCAGATCTTGATTCGCAATCAATTAACGTCAAAAACTGTAAAATATTTCGCTGTGTAATAACTACAGGTGCAAAAAGCTCATGTTACCCTCAATCTCAGATGGTTATAAATGCTAGGTATGTACATATTCGCTTTCGTTGAGCAGATGAGACTGCAGACAACTTGTGGCATTGACTTCGTTTCCTCTTCCTACCTTGAAAAATAAGAGATGGCGTATTGTTTTCTTTTCCTCCTCCTGCCTTGAAGAATATGAGACAACCAGTCGAACAATGTGCGCTTATGCGCCGCCTTGCAAATATTATGTATAAGGCTTTTGTAAGTGGAGTGATGATAGACGAAGAACTGACCTCTTTAACACCCAAGAGTCTGCTCTGATTTACGCATAGATCTTTTAGCTGTTTTGGGGAGTGTTTCTGGAGTGACAGATATAAATCTGGGTCGTTCCGATTACGTAGACCCGTCTGTCGTGGGAACGTATTCGAATGGCTCCTTGATTGCTGTGATTAAAAAGTCAGTCGAGAAAGGGGAAAGGTCATTCACATTGGAGCTGTTTCTAAGTCGTCAGTGGCGCTGCGGGTTTCTTTGAGGATTCGGAAATACATACTATGTCAAAGATAGATCTAGGTCTACTACAAAGATGCCGAATATGTCTACTTATGCATCTATAGATGCGTAACTTTATTCGGTAGGGTCTTGGTTAGATGCCTGGTATACAGATAATTATGTAGATCATCCCATCCCATCTACATATTTACCCCTTTCCTCTCAATCCTCTTTGTAGGCCTTAAGTACAATAGGCAATCCAGCCTGAGTGCTTGGAAAAAGTTTTTTTCTTGGTTTCCACCAAAATTCCATTCCATTCCATTAGATGAAAGAAAGAGATTTTCAATGAGAGGTACATATGTACAGCGTACAGCATCTCGAGGTAGCATTCTGTTCAAAATAAGTAACAGAAATTCAGTTGATTAAAGACAAACATTTTATTCTAATAAGAGCGTAAGATAAATGGGAAGAAATCGATAAGATTCGATTATTATTTTTGTGAAGGGCTGAGGGCATATGTACAAATATGTTTTATACAAAAACAATAATAAATAGCGGTCATGCCTTAGATAAAAAATGACATAATGGCAGCATATACAATCAAATATAACCAAGTATCGAAATAAGTGGAGCTGAGAAATGGAAATTGATTAAAAAGGTTGAAGGAGGACAGAATCAAATTATTACAAATATTAATGAAAACTAAAATCAAAAAAAAAACACAGAAAATGCATAAAAATCATACAGTTTATGAGGGGTCTGGGATTCCATGGGCAATGTGTTGTACAAATACATAAATAGAATTGAATTCAAACCCCAATCGATTACTTCACACCACTCATTCATTAACAAACGCATTTTTTCATTTTACTTTCCAGATAAAATACGACACACAGCACAAAACTGAACGCAACGAAGCGAGGCATTAAAGCATAAAAAATTCATGCAAACAAAAAAACAAACAGAAGCGAAAGGACATAAAATTAAACAAAAGACAGCGGTGTGTACGCTTTTGGCGGGAGAGTGAGAGAGACCGGAAACGCGCTGAAGTGGAATCGACGAGAATGTGGTAAAGCGAAACCGAGAGGAACGAACGGGAACGTACAAGCGACGCAAGCAATGAACCGAGAACGGCAACGCGGTTAAGGTCAACGCAATAAAAATAACGAAAAATAAAAGAAAAAATAAACAAAACAAAAAATTGTGCAGAGAAAGATAAATAATAAAAAAACGAAAAGCGTGCGCGGCGGCAACTAGTGAATGGCGGCGAAAAGGCAATAAATATAGACAACTTGCAAACGGGTGAGAGGCAAAGCAGGGAGAGGAAAAGAAGAAGGTCGTTTGGGGCTTGTGATTTTTGCGAATTTTACGATTTTTACGTTTTCTACGACCAGCAGCCGCAGCAAAAGGCAAACAACAACGACGAGGAATTGAAATTAGAAAGATAAACAAGCGTGTGGGAAAGCAAAATATTACATTGAAAGCAAAATAAATAAGGCAGATGCCAGAAAAAAAGTTGAATGACAGCAGGACATAGCAAATGCGAATGGCATTGATGCAGAAAAGTGAAAACGTAAGTGAAATTTCAAGCGCGGCACTAAAGCTTTAGTGACTTGCGGAAAAGCATAAGTGAAACAGGCAGCCAGCGGAAAAGCAAACTTGAAGACATAGATGATGGAAGCAATCCGTTAACAGAAAATACGAGCTAACAGAACTTTTAAAAGAAAAAAATTACTGCCAGAAAAGCTGGAGAGCGAAAGGCGCTGCTTTAGCGGCAATTGAATTAGAATAAAATAGCATTGAAGTTTTTAGCAATAATTTTCGCAGAAGAAAACATATCAGAAGCAATTTTTTGCTTTATATATTATTTTCACTGCATATCTGTAGGCGCTACTAGCCACAAAACCGCTAAGAAGCTGTGAAGAGCATTTAAATACAAAAATAATTTCCAAGCACTGCAAAGAACGAGGCTAAATTATGCACAAAAGCTAAAATAAAAGCAAAAAAATATCAATGTAATAAAGAATTTACAAACAAAGCAACAATACACGGCGCCCAAAAGTATGCCAACTAATTGCACAAATAAATAAATGCGCCTCACACACACAGCAACTAGCAAGGTAAACGGCAAGCAGCAACAGCACGGCAATCAACGGAATCGACAACGCATAAATTAGGCCTAATTGAGGCATAAATTTAGGCGCGAGGACATATATGCATTTATACAGCTGTCAGCGCAGCATAGGGACACAATTGAAGCCGAGCGGCGAAAGTGAGTAGAAGAAAGTGGAAGAGTAATAGCAGCGCGCGAGTTATATAGCAAACGTGCGAGCTTTTCAAAACGAAATAAGGCTTCCCCATCAACTTCTAGTCAATCGCGCGAGAGCACACACACGCACACCGACTGCTTACGCCAACTAAATATCAGCACCCACACAACCTCGAAAAGATGGCGTTCATTTGGCGTCGCCGCTCTGCGTCCATTGTAAAAATCGTTGCCATACTTACAGCCATTTGGTTCACAGTCGCCTTTTTCATCTACAGCGATGATGCGGGCAGTGAGAACAACAGCAACAACAAATGGAGCGGCATGTCGTTGGCGCTGAAAAGCGTCGCAGGTGGTGGTGGCGGTGTAGGCGGCGGTGCGCCAAACAATTTGCCTGCCGACCATGAGCAGCAGGGCATTTATGAGGCTGGTGGCGGTTTTGGTGTGGATCGTGGCGGTGCGATTGCCGACGATGGTGTTGACGCACTGAGCGGTGGTGGTAGGCGCGAACAACGTCGCGGTGTTGGCGATGTGCCGCCACTTGAGAATAATCAGCTGAATGCGAATGAAGATGTTGGCGCGGCCGGTGATGGCAACAATAATGCTGACGCGGATGCGGGCATTGTTGAGGCTGACCTCAATGTAGGCGATGAATCAGTGCAGAATAATGTGGTGGTGGCGCATCCAAATGAGAACGTCTATCGTGGCAAATTGATTGCGGGCAATAAACCCAGCAGGAGTGGCAGTAAAAAGGGTCCTGAGGAAGATGGTAAGTTTGCTTAGTGTCCGCTCTAACTTAGAAGTACTTAAGTACGTATATGTATTAAGCTCGAATGAGTAGCTCAAATATTTATATACGTTTTCTCGCCCTAAAGTTAACCTTTGCTGTGCTTGCAACATTTTTGCGAATTAATTTGATGGCTTTGTTGTGTGTATTTGCGTTGCACAAGTAACTGGCTCATCAAATTAATGTCGTGTATATGTATTTAGCTATGTGCCTGAGTAGTCTTGCGCATACCTAAGTATATATCGGTATATTTTGTACGCCATTAACCATTGCGCTAATGCCGGACAATTGTGTTTTTGTGGCTTGTCCTGATTTGCTTTTAAGTAGTGTGCTTTGTTAGTGTGGTTATTTGTCATAAAAGGATTAGCAGACAGTGCGAATGTCTAATTTATTCCAATAAGGCACACTGTTACATTCAGTGGGTAGGTGTGTTTTAGTTGAACTGGCATATTTTCCGCTGCCTTAAGGCGAGAAAATATCGCTACTGAAAAGTTTTTGAGAAAGTGAAGAAAAGGGTTAACATTTTCGGAGGAAACCCTTTGTGTAACACCGTGCGACAAAAAAAAGCGAAACACTTGAAGCAATCAATATACTCACGAAACTGTGGGCCAAATATAGTAAAACTGTGTTTTTAGTTTTTCTCTCTGACGTCGGGATTTTTTTTAAAAGGACTCTGTTTTTTTCAAGGGTATGATTAATTCCAAAATGTATTTAAAAGAACTCTTCCAACTTAGAAAACCAGTATTTTCACCAATAAAACAGAATTAAAAAAATTAAAATTTTTTGGTTCACAATAACGGTATTTAAAATATCTTTTAATTAGATTTACTTTATTAAGCGAATAAAGTTATAAGGGCGAAATACGAAGATGTAGTGCATATTGGTCCTTAACAAATTTTTTTCGAAAATAATTATTGTAAAATTTTAAGGACATTCAATGATCAAATGTGAAAAAACATGTTCAGTACCTAATCGGCCTTATGCGCCAAAAAATTGACCCTGCCTTAATTCTACAGAACTCTCTCTTTAATTTCATGGTCATACTGTATCTCTACATCGTACGGATGTTTTTTTTTTTTTTAATTTTAAAAGTATGTAATTGTATTTTCCTAATTTCAAAGTCCTTCAAAAAAAAAATCCTGACATCAGAGAGAAAAACTAAAAACGCAGTTTTACTATATTTGGCCCATGGCTTCGCGAATATATAAAATTTTTTCTGTGTCGCACGGTGTAATATATCAACGTAAAACTAGTTTATTGCCTGCGACGCTGTCTGCGGAGGGTTGCTCGAGAAGGTTATGGAGCATGAATATTCTTCAGATCAGTCTTCAGCACTTTAAGGTGGCATCCGCCAATCTTTTATCCACCCAATCCTTTCCTAATAATCGGTACATCCAATTATCTTCATACGTAGCGCTTCCTAAACAATATCCCTACAGAAATCTTAGCAGAACCAACGAGGGCTTATACTGCGGCAGCCTGCAGTATATTCTTCCGGTGGAATCCGCGAGTGACGGGATCTGGTGTGAAAGCTTAATTGACGAATAAATTGGTGTTTTGACCTCGTCGTGTAAGAGGGCCATTGAAATCTCCTGTGCCCTGCGTCACAATAAAGGAATGAACAAACCACTCTGGTGGTCAAAGGAGCTTTCCGACCTTAAAGTCTCGAGCCGAGGCATTTTTAATAAGGTCACGAGGAGTAAACTAGCATCCGACTATAAGTCCAAGATTAGGAAAGCGAAATGAGATTCATGGTGGCGTGCAGGTTAGCCAGGATGTTCGAGATTTAGGCGAGTTCCCTATGGGAATCCTCTTCTCCTGGGGTAAATCAGGGACAAGAATCGAAACTGGACGCGGAGCAGTAAGGAGTTCCTCCTTGATGTTCACTTCCCAAGCAGCCCGGATCCAAAAAGGATCCGCCTATGCTGACTATGTAGCACTGCTAAGGGGAAAGTTTCTGAAACCACACGTTTAGCTCATGCAGGGTTACCTGAACTTGGTTTAAAACTGGGCTTGTAATTTGTACTAGGAAGTATAAGGGACCGACTTGCCATCTTCCCTCATTGCGCGGTCTTCTACTAAGGCTTTACTCGTCTGGTGGAACGCACTAAACGAGGCCTTCATCGTCAAACAGCTGGACGGAGTAGAAAGAGCAGCTTTAATTGGAATCAGTAGCGCACTTCGAACTACTCCTACTCTGACGATCAATGCTATGCTAAGCGTTGTGCCCACAGACATACCAGGCGCTGCTTGCTCCGCATAGAGCTAAGCAGGCTTTTAGTGCGCCTCGAGCTTTGGGCATGCCACTATTTTTAAAAGTTTCGATTTCTACCAACTCGAACAGATCACTACACGCCGAGTTTGGGTTCGAAGGAGTCTTTCCACACAGGCCCAGCGAGGGAGGCCTGGGATGTGTGCAATTTCTGGAATCGGGGTACTTTAAACGGATAGATCGAAGCTCAATGGGAAGGTAGGTAGAGATGTGTTCTGCGAAGGGCTCTCGATCAACAGGAAATTTAGGCTACCGTTTTCCAGGCACAGGTAGCCGCAATATTGGTTTGGTTGCTCACTAGTGTAACGCCTTTCATGGAGGTGAATATGTATTGCGACAACCAAGCAGCCATCAAGGCTGTTGGCACTCTGATGGTTTGTTCGAGAAAGATCTGCCGATCGGATAATCGGCAAGACAGGGAACCCTTGGGGAACTACTCCCGGGCAGAGTTAGTCTGAGTGCTCCCCTGAACTCTTGTGATCTACTCCTGGATAGATGGGCGTTTGCTCACCTTAGCGGGCACTAGGCGAATACCTTAGAATGCAAGGTGGCAAAATTCTTCTGGCCAAGTGTAGACCGGGGCCGGTACTTGACTTGAGACTAAGCAATGTACACCTTCCGCTAGTAAGCATGCGGTAAGGCTAAGTACCATCGGTGACCCCTATTGTACAAGCTACATGGAGGACTATGAGGTGAAATCATCTCAACATCTGCTGCTCTGGTGCCCCGCTTTTGCCAACCCTAGGTATAAGCACCTTGAGTCCCAGTTTTCCCACACTCCCGATTGGCTTTCGGGAATGGATATTTGTCGTTTGAGAAGCTTCGTGGCGAGAAGAGAGACTTAGAAGGTGTCAAGCCTCTGTTGCTTTCCTCTCTGTCTCCCCCTTTGTCATTCTCTTCATGGCAGGTAGAGAGTTAAAATGTTTTACGATTCTTTAAGGCTTTACTCGGAATCCCCGTATCACCTAAGTAATTGAATGTTAGTGAGCTTTAGGTTTTTTTGAGTGTAATTTTTTTGTAAAATTTCGCTAAAAATTTAGCTTCTCCCTTTATGGGTCCCTTTTTACCCATTGTTGAATAAGTTAAGTAACACTGGCTGTCAAAAGGTCAAAGCCACCTACAGATGTGTTAAGCAGGATGAGCTTGCTAAGCGTCGTCTTCCTCTTCGTTGTTCTGTAAAGAAATTGATTGTTTACGTTGCTCCCGTTGGCTACAGAAAAGGTTTGCGCATTATTAAATTCTTGTTACTAGAAGGCAAGTCGGGTTTCGTGTAGAAGCAACTCGGTTAATTGATTTTTATTTACCTTTAGAACTGCTATGAACAGATACTTGTAAATTTAAATTTTATTGCGGCCAAGGCACTCTGTTTCCAACTACACGACAAACAGGTCTTCCAGAGGCTAAACAAGGATCAACAGAATTTCTAAAACTCATCGATGGCGCATACTAAATACTTACTCGTACACATTTAAAATACAAAATGGAAGTTTAGGCAAACATTTTTATTGATAACAAAAATCATTTAGCCGCTGAAAAGGTACCATTTGTCTCGTTAATTGCTCCTCAACTGGCTGACTGCTCGTAAATCAGGGCACGCAAGCGCACTGACAACAACAATAACAATGAAAACAAACAGCCAAATTAAAAGTTACGACTGAAATAAATAAAAATCCAGCGAAAAACACAATTACAGCAAAAAAAAAACAGCGAAAAACATAAAAATTCATTTGCGAATAAGCAAGTAGAGCGGTTGCTCTGTTAGCATGTATGTATGTATGTATATATGTATGTATGTATGTATGTATGTCTGCGTGTATGTTTGTTTTTCTGCATTGCAACAACATTTATACTAACGACAGCAACAATTATTTTGCGCTTCACTGCCACACATCATTGCTTGTCAAGTGCTGGCGGTAGCCATGTGGCATGTGGCAGCAACTGCGGCTGGGGCTGTGGCTGCGGCAGTGGCAGTCGAAGTGCGTGGCATGGCAATTTAAGCCGGAGGCGCATTTAAATCGCGCTTCAATCGTTTACCAACAACGATAAAATCTTAAATGCCAGCCGACAGATGAATGAAAGACAAGAATTCGCGGTCAATTGGCAGCGAACGCGAAGAGGATGTAAGCCGCGATGCAGTTGTTGTGGTGTGCTGGGCGGTGGTGGTGGTGGTGCTGAGGATGTGGTGCATGTCAATATGTAAGGATGTGAGCGGAGATGAATGGCTATTTGAATGACTGAGTAGCTGCATAGATACGACAGCTTGAATGCGGCAAGTAAATAGACAAATGAGAAGCGAAATCGTATAGAAATGTGTGTGTTTATGAACAGTGTGGCAAAGCGCCAAGTGTGCACAGCGCTTGCTCAGCCAATGTAACAAGTCATCAAATTTTCCTTTACATGTGGCATGCCACACGTTGTTGG